CGGCGCAGGGGAGAGCGGCGTTGGGCTACGGAGGTGCAGGGGAGAGCGGCGTTGGGCTACGGAGGTGCAGGGCAGGGTGGTGTTGCCCCAGGCGCGCCACACAAGACCCTCTGCTGGATGTTCTGGATGCAACCCACCCGTCAGGTCCATGGCGTATCGTCGTGAAGATCCAGTGCCGTTGTTGCATGGACGCGAGAGACCACTGGCCGGGCATGGCATGCTCGTGCGGTTACCTCGGTTGGCGGTCATGTCCACTCTTGCCCTGTGTAACCCGCTGCATGGAGCCCTCCCGCGCAAGCCTGTGCACTGTACTAAGACCTTCCAATGTGCATAAGCACCTGTTCGTGCTCACAGCGGCTCCGTTATTCAGTCGGCGACGTCCCAGTGGGGGTCGGTCGGCACCATCTCGCGTAAGGTCCATCACTTCTGCATAATAACGCAGTCATTGTTGCCATCTTGATGAGCTAATCCTACATCTTCGCTATGCATAATCCGTTGCCTGTGGAGGCCCCTTGGCGTCCAAGCTGAAAAGTAAATTCGCACCTCTGGGTTGTCCATCGCCGCTGTCTGACATCGCTCTTTGCGGTGAGCGCCGGCTTTGGAGGAATAACTCTAATACTAAAAGTCTAACTAAATATTTGAAGGCATGCGGCGCGAGGACTGACTGGCACGAGCATAACATGCCCCTCGAAGATATGCAATATATATTGTAACGGCTGCGCATGGAATTATTTGCATAGCCATGTTGCATGATGATAATTGTTTTGGGGGGTTCAAATCCTCAAATGTGTCAAATGCCAAGCCCGAGGAAATCCTTGCATGACCATTATATTGCTTATTGTTTTGGGGGTCAAATCCTCAAATCCCGATGGGATTTGACCCGGATTTGATTGGGAATTCATGAGGTCAAATTCCGGGATTCCGGCCCCGTGAGGGGCCTCGATGTATTGGTAATGGAGCGAACTTCATAACGGTACCATCGTACATAATTTTCCAACAAACGATTTTCAGGACCCAAAATCGTGTAGCTTCATTTATCCATGCGATGTGTTAGCGTTGCTTCTGAATTCCATGAGCGTAATTACCAGCTTCCGCAATTACAATGCGTTCCTAGGATTTCTTGTTTGCCTCAGGCGCTGTCATACTTGCTTGTTTTCAGTGCATAACAGGTATATACATTAATTGTTAGTTCGTTAGTGGCAGCAAGTCTTGGCTATTTTGCCGTAAAGCGACTCAACAACCCACTTGGGAGTCGACCCGGCGGCCATCTTAACATCGGCAAGCTCTCAGCGCAAATCCTTAGTCGTCATTTGTATTGTCGAGGATTAAAGGCGCATGGCGGCTGTGATTGCGAAGCGTATAAACATTAGCTGTCGAGGTGCACGGCCGAGGATGTGTTGTGTTGTCCCTAAGGCAACGTCAGTCCTTCCGCCCAAGCAAGCACTCAAGGCTACCGCACCGCTGGACGGCGCTTTGCACCCACGGACTGCGTCTTACGTGAACTTTTCAGCAACGGCGGTTGACTTTTATAAAGTCTTAGCTCGCCTGGAAGCTGCAAGCTATTTTGCGCGAGAATCTCAGTCCGTATTGGGGGCTTCTGTTCCCGGACCAAATGCTCCGCAGCGCAAACCCTGGACAGGCATCTTCGATGGCCTCTTTGGTGGCTCGCGCATCAGCAAACAGACTCAGACTGAGGTCCTCGGAACCCTATCTGGTTCCGACGATATAATGCCCTTACGTCATGCCGTCGTCATGTTCACCGCGACCTGGTGTGGTCCGTGCAGCGTGGTGTACCGCGAACTAAAACTGGCCGTGGGCAGGTTGCAGGGTCGGCCTCCCACGGCCATCATCGTGATAGACGTCGAGGAAGAAAAGGAGCTGGCGTCGGAACTGGGCATCAAGGTAGAATTGCTGTCGCTGAGCCCTAGTTGAATGATGCTGAGACTGAACGTGCACGGCGTCCTGTAGCAGCACCACTTTCAGGCGTGCTATCAACAGATTATTATTATTGATTCCGCCCTGCCCCTCCGGCGACGGGCCTGAACGCGGCCGCAATATAACGGCTCCGCATGCAGGCGGCGGTGTGAAGTTCGGAGCAGTGTGCAGCGCTGCACCTGTCCTGCCAAGCGTATCATATCTAGGCTTGGCGTCTTGGTCCAGAATAGTTTTTCACCTTCTGTATCCCGTTACGAACGAACCAGGATCCCGTTGCTCCGTCTGGTCGCTTCACCCGCCTCGTGTAGGCTCTGCCCACCCTCCTCTACCTGAGTCCGGATGAATCTCGGGGACCAATCTTCACCCTGGTGAGTGACCACCAGACCACCTGGCCTATATCAACAGCATGCTCCTTGATGCGGGCATGTTTCTTGATTGTGCCCTGCACATACACTCGCTATCGCACGTGCTTAGGTGGGGTTCACCTGCCGGCTCACGGCCGTCCGCCAGTTTATATCTTTGTTGCGCCTCCATTCCTTGGCTATAATATATTTAGACACCATTGGCTCATTGGCATGATTCCTGTCCACAGGGTCCCGTGTCCGCATCGTTCATCCTGGACGCCATGGACCGAGCGGTGGATTGCGGTGGTCGCAACATAAAAGCAAAGTGGCTCAAACTTTGATAGTACTTGCCCCAGCTAAGAATTGTGCACAAGCAGCAGCGACATAGCGGAGTAATGTATCATAGAATAATGATATATATTCGGGGTTTCATCCCTAAAGCGAGTGGCGAAGTAGCTATTTGGTTTGTGGTGCCACGAGTGGTGACGTGAAGGCCATGCTGTGTGCGCGCACGGTTCTGGGGCGGGCCCAGAACTCCTACACACGTCGCAAGTGTTCTTGTTGTGAGTTCTGAGGTGCGTGATGCTTTTAGGTGCTTTTGAGCTGAGGAAGAATGCTTTATCTGTCAAGCGGATGAGTGAATGGCCAAACAAAAAGCCTGTTGAGAGGAAGACACGGCAGGAGCGCAGAACGAAGGAAGATCCCAGCAAGTTTTGAGCTGACGTACACGACAAATGCTGAGAGATCCATGGCTAATTTATTGATTGCTTCGAGGTGCTGTGAAGTGCTTTCATTTTTCGGGGTTGTAAAGAATGTGGATTGATGTATTGCATAAGGTTCAAGGTTGAGTCATTCTCAAGTGGAGCGGGTTAGCCGCCCGGCAGGGCCGTTGCTTTGAAAGCTGATGAGCTATCGTCGGGGGAAGGAGTTGTGAAGGCGCCTCATCAATACCTCGTGGTGCTGTGGATAACATGTGGCTGGGATAGGCGCGTAAAATTGTAGACTGTTTAAAGGCATTTATGTATGAGAGCTTCTTCCCTGTTGGACCTGCCGATGTTCCTTCGGTCGTGGGTTCGGTTCTTGAAGCGAAGTTGAGAAGCCTGACAGCGGCCTTTTGTGAAGATGTCCGGCCGCCCAGTAGACCGTACGGGGCGCCACGTGTTGCGTGTCCACTGGGATATGTAGCAAGGACGCGTTCGTTGTCCGTCGCAGATGTATCTTTCAGCGTCCACCAACCCTGGACCTCCGGAATGCGGCGGTTTGGCGAAGAATGGAATATGGCAGGGCGGACAGGGCGAATCATGGTGGACTAGAAGCCCTGTGCGTGGATATGCCCCACACACCATGACGCCGTTTCAATTGGAATGCAGGGTTGCGGTCTCCTATTGCTGCTATTGCTGTTATCGGGCGAATCGCGCCATGGCCATGGCGTAGTTGTTGTTGCGGATGTTGCGCAATGAGGACTTGAGCTGGCAGGTGCAGTTCCGTTATCTGAAATGGTTGACACGTGAGCGGCCGTGATAGCGAGCTGCCTGCTCGTGATTGTTTTCCTGCCAATTAACGTTGAACAGCAATGGCCTAAGCCAAGGGGCCGCTGATGCCAGGGAGCGGACGGCTGCTGTAAAATCCCTACAGGGCTCGGGGATTTCTGTTTTTGGTTAGGTGGGGTGGTAGGCAACACGGCGGGGTGTGTGTTGCAGTCACTGCCTGAAGTTACCACCGCTTTGGAACCAGCGCTTGAGACTAACACAGAAGATGTAATAAGAGGATTACAGCAGTAAATTCTGTGAACGAGGGCCTTCCCTTGCCCGTTCCCTTGAATGCACATATTGTACGGCAGAGCGCGTATGCTTTTTCACGTCACATTGCTGAGAATGGTACAACCATTTTTGACATGCAATGGGTATGGCAACATCAAGTGCATGAGCACTAAGGGACATTTTTTTGCTTTTTGGGCGGGGCCCCAGCGCGAAGCGCCCAGGGGGGCCCCGACCTGTAGGATTGCCCATGTCCGTGTGTGTGTGTGTGTGTGTGTGTGTGTGTGTGTGTGTGTGTGTGTGTGTGTGTAACGGACCAAACATAATATCTCGCCCGCCTGAAACGCGTTATAGGTACTATACAGCATTCTCTATTGCAAGGTATTTCGCATGTAGCCAACAAAAATCGTATGAGCACAAACAAGTTTGGCTGCCTCAATTGACCGAGGCCAAAGTCACATCAACGCCTCTCGAGCTAAATTTCATCCCGAAAGGTACCGCGTATCTCATATTTGAATTCTTAGATGACGGCGTATGATAACTCGAACTCCCAGGCCTTGAGTGTGTAACGGACCAAACATAATGTTTCACCCGGCTGAAACCCGTTATCGGTACTATATAGCATTCTCTATTGCAAGGTATCTCGCATGTAGCTAACAAAGACCGTATGAGCACAAACAAGTTTAGCTGCCTCCATTCACCGACCTCAAAAGTCACATCAACGCCTCTCGCGCTAAATTTCATCCCGAAAGCTGCCGTGTATCTCATAATGGAATTCTGAGATGACGGCGTATGATAACTCGAACACCGAGCTTGCGTTACCATTTGCCGGCATGGGCAATCCGACTTGCCACCAGCAGGCCAACATAATTTGCTTTCACTTCTCTATGAAATACACAAGCTGCTTGTTTGTACATTTACTTTGGCCAATGCACGGGGCCTCCGAAGACTTGCGGTGTGCCGCGATGAAGCTCGCGGCTGTGGGGCGGATTGCTGAGGCCGCTGGCGCTTCGGGGATAAACATCACAGACAGCACCGAATTTCACTCAGCTTGCGTTACCAATTTGCCCGCACGGGCATTCCGACTTGCGGTCTGCCGCACTGTCCATGCGGCATGCACCCGGGATGGATGCGATTCGCGTGGAGCGCGCAGGCGGTGCTGACGATTCCGCCGGTGCAAGCTTAGCTCCCACACCATCAGTACTGCTGCAACAAAGCACATCTCCCACCGCAGTGACACTACCCATCAATTGTCACACGTGCCGTGCTAGCTACCGGCCTGTACGGATGCAGGGGGGGCCCGCCCTTTTTCCGGCTTCGAGGAAGCCGACACCCGACTTGTCACCTAAATGTCCATCAAGATTGTGACGTACGCCGTTCATCCACTCCGCCTGAGTATGTGTCGATGAAGGCGTCCTGACTATGCTGCATGTATGCACGTCAAACATCTGGTACGTGCAAACTTGGCTTCTTTCAAAAAAATCAGCTATAACAGCTCACTTTTTGTATATTCTCCTGTGCATACACGTACATAAATCCTAGCTGTCGTTGACTTTCCTTTGCTGCGCGCTTAGGTGGTCGCCATGTGTATCGGTACCGCATATGTACTGCGATCTTTCCTGGAAATTAGGTGAACTTATGCCTAGCGGCTGGGCAGCTTGCAGCAGGGCTGTGGCAGGCGTAGCCGCCGCAGCGGTGCATCAACGAACATGTATCACATTTGCAAAGTTTCTGGGAACGTCACCAAATTTCCATATCGTTAATGTAACTCCAAGTGTCATTTTCGGACCCTCGCCAAACGGTGTGTCGCAAGAGTATTGTTTCACTCCGGGTACCACACCACCGACAACAATAGCCATAATACCGGCGGTGCCATATACCCTGCGGCTCCCAACGACCCTGCAGCTCTCAACTAAATCGCAATACGCAAAACTCAGTGCAAAATTTTCACATTGTTGCGTCCCGGCATTTGCACGACATAGGTTCCTAGCTCAACCCATAGGAAATAAAATGCAACAACAAAGTTACAAAGCATGCCCAAAGCATTTGTAATTTAAATACGAGTAGATCCAACTCCAGCAAAACGACTCAAGGCCACTGGCTGTTGATTGAGTAGTCGCAGTTCGATGACATGTTGGTGAGAAGCGCCCCGAAATCCTTGGTGGGCTCACCCTCGCCGGGCTTACGGGTGATCACGTCGAACGCCCTGAACAGCAGGGAAGATGCCCAACCGCATGGTATGAACCTTCGAAAAATGCACGTTGACTCCAGTCCTCAAGCACAAAAGAAATCCCATGACTAATCCAAGCACGTCCCTTTTAGTTACATCTGAAGCCCTGCCTTGCACTGCCCTGCCCAGCCCTGCCAGTCTGTTCAAGTACCTGTTTTCTGCTGCCTTGAGCGTGAGGCAACGCACGCTCAACTCAGCCACATCGCCACGAGGAATGCTGCGCATGGTTTCTTTCAGAAGGGTATCATCCACGCCCACCACCAGCTGCCGCTGGCCATCAGCTTCGTCAATCAAGCCTGCATGATGCAAATCAACAGCCTTTTCGGTGATCTCTTCGCTACATGGACGTGATCTGTTAAATATTTGGCACAGGTCCAAATTACGTGAACTCGTGTAAACAGCTGCCGGGGCGCGATCGCCCGTGCACAGGTGAAGTATTCCATGCATGCGCTATGTGCATGGCTACAGGGGCCGCATTCAGGAATGGGATAAGGGGCATCCAGTAGAAACGTATCTCCTCTCGCACCTCCTGGGTGGATAATCGTGTAGGTGAGGCCTGATGCAATCAGGTACTGCTCAGCCTTCCTCTTCCACTGAAGAATGTTTCCTGTGGATGAACGCGCATCTGCTTAGTAGGCGAGCATATTCTACTCGGGAACGTAAGCTAAAAATGCGTGGCAATTTACGCGCACATGGCTGTAGGCTTCACAAGCGGGTTAATGCCGAGATTCTATGCGTACTTGAGGAAAGCGGAGGTAGGAATGTTACAGCCAGCTTCGTGCGTTGGTAGTTGTACATTAGTTGGCCTTTAAGAGATGAGGTATAGGGGCGAACTAATCGGTATTGATGCCATTGCAGCATTGGCCTTTGTTCCAGACGGTCGGTGGCAACCAACATCCCGAGCTTCCGCGGACCGGGCTCTCAGGCCCTCCCTCCCGAAGGTATCACCATATCGGTCCTTTCAGGTACCAGGGTGATGACGTTTTATCAGTGCAACGCACCTTTTGGTGTCTGTCTGTCTGTCTCTCTCTCGGCATCGCGGTAAACATGCCACATCACAAAAAATGTTCAGCCCTTTTCCCCCTTCCCAGTATTATACCCAAGGACGAAAAAAATAATAGCCTGGTATTCTCTGAAACAGGTTGAGTCCGGCTGCCATAACCCACCGTTTCCAAGCTTGTTAAGATTGTTATCCTTGTCCGTGCCGCCCATGCTGCTGATCAGCACCACCTTCTTCACTCCCGTTGCCTTCGCAGCATCAATCTGCACCTTCTGGCCCAGCCAGTCAACCTGAAAAGCGCCGGCATACGACGGAAAGGAGGGTTGCAAAACGGTCAGCACGCGGCGGAGGGTCGGGCCCAGGATACGGATGGGAAAGGGTAGGGTAGAAATGTGGACCACCCCGGGATAAGGATGGTAGAGGGCCCAGGATGGCGGCAAATTTGGAAGGGTCGACGCCAACCCACCAAGGATGAGTATGGCTGAGGGAAGGGGATGCAGTCACCAGGATGCGGGATGTTTGGCTGGAGGATAGGAAAGGGGGGGTATAGGATGTATCCAACCGACAGGATGCATGCCCGACACTCCCCAAGGATGCGAGGATGGGCTGCATTATGCCGAGGAGGATTCATCGGTAGCTTAGAGCGTTTCGGGTGGTTTGACCTTACCTGTTCGGGATTTTGGCCCTCCTTCCAGCCAAACTGGGGCATGACTCCTTTACCCCCAGTAAGTTTGGCCCAAAACACGGGGATAAGGCTTAGCGGCTTGAGTACTGGCACAGCTGATGTGGCAATGACCACAGCGTCGCATCCAGTAAACGCAGCTTCGAAAGCTTTGGCGTCACCTTGAGAAATGTCCGCCGCCAAGATGGCTGATTCCTCCAGACCCAGTTGCGTGAGCTTGGGCTTGGACTGGGACCACAAGATAGCAGGAAGAGGTGGGTCAGTGCATGCCCAAGGACCTTGAGAGCAGGATTAAGAAGCAGGATTTAGACCGCGTCGCTGGCTGGGGCTGAGACACGCTTGGAACACGCTTCCACTCTGCGGAAGGTTTTAGTCCGTCAGCGGTGCCCAAATGCATGCAGATAGGCCCACCCATCGTTGCTTGCGATATGTCGTTGGTGTTAAGACATTCCCTTTGCAAGGACCTCCCTTGCCACGCCGTCACAACCTTACCGAGGAGTTGCGAACAACTGCGCGTGTCTCAAACTCAGCCGCGCGCTCCAAAAGCTTCTTGACGACAAGGGCTCCAGTCCGTCCGGCAGATCCCGTCACAGCAACCTTCAGCCGATGAAGTAGCCATCAATCAAGATTACCGTACTGTACAGACGAAACGTTGCTGACCGCTGCACAGCGGATTAAATCTCAGGTCGAAGTGCAACGCACCTTGAGCCTTGCTTGCGCCATGATCGCTAGGCTTCTGCTTTGTGTCAGTTGAGTCGTTTTGCTGAAAGGTCGCACCGTGCGCCCACGTAGAACTCCGGACTTCAGCATTTTTATAGTAGCGCGATCCCAATCGGGATACCTTGGACATCTCTACGAAAGCTTCATAAAAATTGCAACTAATCGAGCCGTACGGCAAATTTGCATCCACTGCAACAAGCTAGCTGAGCCCTGCAATACGGATTCATAGCGGTGAACCCTTTCCCTCTTTTCATTTGGATTCTTATGCTGGTAGTAGTTGACCAGGTCAATTTTCTTTTCTCTTGGATGCTGTCCACTTGATTCAGTCCTTTCCTATGGCTTAATTTTTCCAAGATGATTAGAATACCTAATCTGTAGTTTCAATAGTCATTTCCGACGTCTTACCATGGACCTTTGTGAAACGGTAGGAGTTGAACTAGGCCTTCCCGTTGCCGGCCGAGTCATACATAACGAAGCAAGTACCTTAATCCGTGTCTTGATATGTTTTTGACGCAGATTGACGTGACCTTTCATGGGGTCGCCTATCTGCTCACTGTGTCCACCATTGAAAGTGAAACCCTCTGCTTGGAGGTGGAACAGAAGTCAGACTGCTCGCGATGGCGGGGGGATTTCACATCTCGATGTAAGCAAGCAGTATGGCGACTTGCATTATCAGTTGTTGCGAACACGCATGTGCTGAGACCCCACCGCACGTCGCGACATCCTGGGTGACTTATTTGGCAGATATCGAAGACATTACGGCGAAGACAGGGAACTTCAAGAAATTCCCAGTGTTCGTTAAGATGTTGCTGTCAGCACTGAAGCAGGCGTCGGACAGCGTGTTCGTGGATTTGCTCACATACCAAGATTTGGAGGTGTTAAAGAGCCGGAAAGCCGGCAATCAGGCGCCTCCGCCGCGGACGCAGGCACCGAACAACAAGCGGTACCTCATTATGACGTACGCAGCCGAGTTCGACCGGGTGCATTACCCCTTGCCTCTCCTCTACGAAGAAAACCCCGACCCGCAGCACCTGAAGCGTGTTATTAGTCAGTTACGGGCTGAGGTGGAGGCCCTCCAAAGTGAGGCTGGAAACCGCCGTGGCAGCGAGGCGTCTGCAGAGTTGCGTAGGCTTCGCGAGGAGAACACAGGTCTTAAGCACCAACTTAAGCAAATGGAGCGTGTGGGCTCACCTGGGGCAGGGCAGGACCAATCAGCAGACGCGCGGGAGCTCTCTCGTGATCTAAAGACGGTGGGTGCCGGCATGGAGCTTCAACTGCTACTTGTGGCCCAAGTCATTTTCCGGGTTGTTCAGGACCACGGCATGCGCGTGATACGCTCGTAGAGGAGTCCATGTAAACATGGTTCAGTACGCATGCGGCTTACGCAGGCACGCAAGGAGCGGGACTTGCTGCAGGCGCGCCTGGAAGCAGCGGAGGCTGAGCTGGAACGGGAGCGGGGAGTGCACCGGCGGGAGCTGCGGCGGCGAGCAAAAGAGCAACAGGAGGTAGGAATGAAGAGCAGGTCCGGTGAAGTCGTCAGCCTTAGGTCTCAAATATCGAAGCTGGCGTTCTAGGCCAGTTACCCTGATGAGCACCTGGCGTTCACTTGGACCAGACAAGGTTTCGTTTTCTTGCCCCGCGTCTTGCCAACAGCTCATCGAGGAGCTGGGTCGATGTAAGGAGGTGATTCGGGAGCTGAAGATGCGGGTTCGGCAATTAACGGAGGACACGGAGATGCGAGACCGCCGCTTAGCTTCAGCTGACAGAATGAGGTGGGAAGGGCTGGCCCTCATGAACCTTAAATTACAAGGCCTTCGACACCGTCCCCTCCCAAAGCTGTGAAAATAACGGTTATGTCAGCGGACTAATGGCACGGGTTTGGGCCGCGCTTTTCCCAACAGATCAGTCTACGCACGGGGCGCGGGAGAACCCTCTGGTAGTGCACGGCCTGGCAGCCGGACAAGTTCCGCAGGACGAGGGTAGGTCCATTTGTACGCTTAGTACCTCGTACACTCGTACAGCGACTTATCCGTGTTGCTGCTTTCCACTATTGTGGTATGACCTCTTGTCAGGACCAGCCCGAGCTACGGGGCGCCGACTCGTGGAGCTGATAGCAGGAGTCACAGCCGCGGCCGGCCGACGTCGAGCGCGGAGCGCTCCCGGCCAAACTCGGCGCCGGTGGTTGCGCGGCCAAGGTATGCTGGGTGTGAGATGTGACGGGAGTGACTGTGCCACACACGGCACTCCGCAAGCGTATGCACATCTGTTGTAACGTTTCACGTTCTACAGGTTTGACCCCACGGAATATGTCCGACAACGGAAAGAAAGGGAGGCAAATCATGGGGGCCGCCGCAGCAATGCACCGACGCCACCTCGCTCTGGTCAGTCATCCCGTGCTCCGTCTGTAGCAGGTGGGCTGTTGGTGGCGGTCAGGTGCTTGTCAAGCGGCTATAGATGCGTTTACGCGTTTCCTTGGCCTCCTTGGTTCGTGGATACGCGGCATCCCGCGGATACGGTGTGTTCATATCCTTAGATTTCCATCCTCTTCGCGTTGCTTGCAGGGAGCCGGCCTGAAAGCGCTGAGCGACTGCCGGCTCTTCGCAACCCGTCACCTGGCTCAAGCAGACCTAACAGTGGCGAGCGCTTCCGACATGGCGGAAGCGCGAGTACGGGACCACCTGGCTACAGCGGTGCAGGTGGCAGCCGCGGTGCGGCGGATAGGGCAGGTTCACGCTTGCCTGACTCCTACGGGGCGCAACGGTCACGTGGAGCATCGCCGAGTGGGCGCGTTACAAATGCATGGGCCGAGCCTGCGCCTGGAAGCGGCGGGGCTGGCTGGTCAAAGTTCCCAGGCGGTGGGGGAGGGGCAGGCGGCGGGAACCGCTTTGCTGGCAACTCGCCTCGCTCTATGTCACCTGGCAGAGCCCTGATGGAGGTCAAGCAAAAGCTCAGCACCTTTGTGTCCGGGCGACCTCCTGGCACTGCTGCCGGTAAGCATGTAGACCCGCACTTTGGCTAATCTACCGCAAGCCCACGACGGTAACCTACAGATGTGGCTCTCATGGACTAAGAATTTTGGGAGAGCACACGGGGCACAGCCCAGGCCAGGGATGTTGGGGCAATGTCTTAAAAAACTTACGTTCCATGCCTGCAGATGACGCGAGCAGCGCTCAGGGAGACCACGTGAGCCAATCGTCCAAGTCCCAGGTGTTTGAGGACGCCAGCGCAGAGATTGCGGACATAGACTCGCGTCTGCATGCGTTGCAAAGCTTCTTGCGCATGGCCAAGTCGTCCAGCACCAGTACGACCACAACTACGACCGCCCAGGCGTAGCAGTGTATATATGTGTATTGTAGAAGCCCTTGTGGGTGCATCAATCTGGGCCGGGATGCCTGGAGCAGGCCGTGCGACTAGCTACCGGAGAATCACGGGAGATCTCTTGCACGGGCGACTGTGATCCACCATGTAAGCGTTGAACTTCAGCTAGCCGTGCATTTTATGCTTGGGTGTGGGCGCTCAAGCCAACCGACCAAAGGGTTATTGGCGTCCATTAGTGCCTTACCGACACATTCGAGCAGGATGTACTAAACGAACCGCGAACAAACCGCGCCTCATGCACTGTGTGCGTGATGGGTTTATCCTTACGCATCTGCATGACAGCTGGCGGACCCAACCATTGACTGTAAACAACGATCCCAATGAGCTACCTTCGTGCTACCCTACACCGTTCTCATTCGTGCTATTGAGGGTGAGCCCCTCCACGACACCATGCAGCCCCTGAACTGAGTCAACGGTCTGCCGCGCGTGCCCCTTGCTTGGCCGCCGACCAAACCCAGCTGCTGCTACCGCCTGCTCATGTATCGTGTACCGTAAGATGTTGGCCTGCAGGGTGCCCACAAGCACCTCGGGCCTGTCATAACGCAGGGCGAGGCAACGGAACTCCTCCGTGTCGTGTGCGAACCTGCGTGCACAGCCGGCCAGCGCAGCGACGTGCGATCAGAATGGGGAACAATCCGACAATCAAAACTCCCATATTTTACGCAGGAAGTTATGTCGGAGTGCGCATGGCCCTGCAGTTGGGGCTCTGCCTGGTGTCATGCATCCATCGTATCTAGAGCTGCATGGCGTCGTGGTCCCTTGCCGCCCCAGTAATGCGGCTTGGTGACACGGGCATATGGCTGCATGGGACACGGCCACACACTTATCTAATCGCACCTGTGCCGCACTTGCCCGGCCACATAGTCCCACACCAGCAGCTGTCCGTCCAGGGAGCAGCTGACCAAGTGACCACTGGCGGGGAGCACGTCCAGACCGGTGACGCTCCGCCTGTGTGCCTCAAGCACCTTGAGCGGCCGCGTGCTGAAGGTGCCTTTCAAGGCTATGGCCGGGGAAGCAGGGACCAGACTTATTTGCGCTGCATGGACTCCAGTCACCGGCGAACCTGCACCGACCAACAGCATCCAGGTCCAGGTCGCAGTATATTCAAGCTGAGCAATCGCACAGGGACCAGGCCGATGGCAATCCTTACAGCTATATATCCGCTTGCAGTTAGCGTACCTGCAAAGTGGGGCTTGTTCACAGCTGCAGGGACTGTGTCCCAGAGGCATATTGTGCAGTCGTCCGATCCCGAGAAGAGGAAGTTGGCGTCCAGTGCCAGGCACGTCACAGCATTCTTGTGCCCCCGGTGGCAGCCCAGATAGTCGTAACCGGTGGCGGCCCACACCTGTTGAGTGTAGCAATAGCACGTATCATAACAGCAACATTTCTCCCTAAGCTGTCAGCACTCTAGCTGTCTCCGCGCAGGTTGCAAGGCACCGCTACCCGACAGCAATCGCGCTGATAGCGCCAGCTGGTAGTCGTACTGTCCCGCTCTCTGCGCGTTCCGCTCAGGGCGGCGGCGAGACACTATGAACACGAGTGCTGAGACTGTTTGACAGCAATGCCCGTCCTGACTTTGCCAAGTTGTATGGCATTAACCCCTAATGACACACCTTAATGATACCCTCAGTCCCCGCCGTCACAATCGCCTTTTTCAGTGGGTCATACTTGAGGGCCAAGATCTCCGGTTCAGGAGACGCAAGGGCCACTCTCAGCGCGTCCGTACAGGGTCTGGGCTCCCCAGCAGCCGCGGCGGCTGCTGCACCCGCGACAATCCCCGTCAGCGACGACCGCTGCGGGGTGGGACTACCGCTGTCCCCCGTGCCGCTGCCGGGGACTCTGCTGCCACTGGGCGCCTCGGGGCCGTGCGCCCGGAACTTGGCCACCATGTGCGGCGGCTCCCCTCGTAGGCTACGGATGTCCCACAGCACCACCCAGCCGTCGTAGGAGGCCGATATGAGCAGCTCCTCGTTGCGATGCACCAGCGCCAGTGACAGTGCCGTCACGGCATTGGTGTGCTTGTCCTTCAGGGTGGTGGCGTGGCCCGTGTCCAGGTTCCACAGCCGGATGTTCCCGTTGTCGTGACCTGCATGTGACACAAACAACCGCAACCGCGGCAAGAGCGCCAGTGTAACATGAGGACGTGACCGGAGGCAGCCCAGTGCAATGCAGCCGGCCGAGAGCCGACACAGGCGTACTCGGTGTCCGAGAACATAAGACGTCATCCGCAACCCAACCGCAATGCTCGTAAGCCCTAAGTCTATGGACATACGGATCGGAACTCTCTTAAAATGGAAAGCAGACGAAGTGCAAGGTACGCGCCTCGTAGCGCGATGGTTTTTTACCCGGGCCGCCGTACCTGTCACAAGCAAGTTCCAGCCCTCAAAGAAAGTCATGGCGCTGATCTCCGAGGTCGCCTCCTCCATGACGCGAATGCAGCCCATGTCGTATGGATCCCACAGCCGTACGGTGTTATCCACGCTAGCGCTAAAGATGCGGTAGTCCAGGTCAGCGCCGGGGCCGGCCTTCACAGCCAGCCGCGGGGAGGGAGGGAGGGCAGCGGGCGGAGATTAACCGATATGCGACGCAACTCGGGCAACAGATACACCCACCACGTCACCTCCGTCTAACCCCCAACACCCCATTATGCCGTATCACACAGAACAACAGAAACCAGCTATAGGCGCCGGGTCAGTGCCTACCTGCTATGCCTACTCCACCTAGCAGTGGCAAATGACGAAAACCCAGATAGCCGTACTGCTTCCTCTTCTCCCCCACGCTGCTGCAACCCCTCCACTCACCACGCCTCCCGAGCACGTGTACAGGCTGATGACCGCCTTCTCATGTCCCCCCCGGGCCACGTTGTAATCCAGCTCGTGGTCAATGATCCACAGCCCCAGCTCCCGGGCAGTAGTCACCGCGTACAGCTGCCGACCAAGCACCGAAACCACCGACTGAATGCTGCTACTGCTGCCGCCGGAGGCTGCGGTGCTGGCGGCACTGGCCCCCACTCCCCGCTTGCTGCCGGCGGCAGTGGCGGGCTGTACCATGTGTTTTGTAACCATGAGGCGGCCGGTGCGGATGGAGAAGATGGACAAGACGCCGCTGGTGTCTCCAGCTAGGATCTGCGGGCAGCAGGATGAGGGGCGGCAGGACGGGACAGGAGGAGAGAGTGGCTTGGGGGTAGCGTGCGTTTGTGTGTGTTTGTGTGTGCTGAGGAAATGAAAATAGACGGCTCAGATGTATAACTGGGAAGGGTATGCGCTGGGGGGGAAGGGGAAGAGGAGAAGGTCGTTGGGGGTGTTCAGTCATAGAGGACCTCCAAACTGGAACACAACATATTGATGGGTAGGATGGGTAGGGTGAGTGGGAAAGGCGAATGGTGGAAGTCAGGAGTAGGAGTAGGATATTGTGCAGGCAGGCTGTTAACCCACCTTCCTCCTCGTCCTTGTTGCCCCCAACCCGGTGTTGTGTTGATCGCCTAGATGGGCGCATTCCAGCGCACTCGGAATCCCCCACTCCTTCTTTCCTCCCTTCCTTCCCCCCCCCCGTCCGGGGCCCGGAGAGGAGGGGGTGTTTACTTCTTGCCCTCCCCTCCGCCCCACCTCATCAAACTCCAGGTTGACCTCCAGAGTGGTGAACTGGCACTGCCGCTCGTTGGCCCAGCAGTGCCGGACGGACTCAGTCTTCACGTCCCAGGCCCTGATGCACAGGTCGAAAGCCACGGTCAGCACCAGGTCCCACCTGCAGTTGCATACATACATACATACGTACACACGCGTAGAGCATGTACGGGAGATAGGTAAGGTATGATGGAGGGTAGAAGGGCAGAACTGCCGACTCAAGCTCTCAATACCCATCAGCGGTTACGGAGGGAGCGTTACTGGGAGGACATGACCTGCTGCTGCTGCTGCTGCTGCTGCTGCTATGCCCGGGTGGCATTGCCCAGGTCTAGCCGGCAGAAGAAGAAGCGGGGAGGTGATGGTTGCATGCAACACAACAAGCAGTAGCTGCAGCTGCTGCTGCAGCTGGATGTCCGTAGTACGTCAGTTAAGAGGAAGGGAAAGAGGGTTGCGAGGGCCCTCCCCCGGATGACAGAAACTGATTGGCTACTACTCGTCCCATTGTTTGATCTGTCGCAACCGTGTCTGACATTAGTACGGCACATCAACAGGCTAGGTCCAGTCGTACAGATGGACTCAGGCACATGATGCATCGCGACCATCAACCACGTCGGAGCAAAAAGGGGGGAGAGAGAGCACACAGATGGGTGCCAAGTTGGCACTGCCAACCCCAGGACAGCCGAGGTGACGGGCTGGAGAGCGGGATCAAGGCCCGGGGGCCATTTATCCCCACGGCAGCCCCGCCCCGCGATGGCCACCTCCCCCCCCATACCCCCCTTTCCCCTTACTTTGCGACAAAGCGGATTATAGATACGCTCCGGTCGTGCAGGTGCTCCACCCGCCGGTTCACCCTGAAGTCCATCCTCGTGGATAACCTGTTCGGCGGGAAGGCAGCAGCGGAGCCGGAAGGGGGAAATGGGGAATGGGGTGTTCAGGGGAGAGGGAGGGGAGAGGGAGGGAGGGCACCCCCCCAACATGGGCCCAGGTGGTTGAGAACACAAACACAGGGGCCGGTGACTCATCCGGGGCCCAGTGGGGGAAGGGGGGGGAGGGGAAAGACGAACCGCACGCGATTGAAGCTGCTGCCAGAGCAAGATAGTAGCAACCGAAAGAACTGACCGAAAGGGGGGGAGGGGTCGTAGGAACGGCTCAGCTTTCTCAACCCCCCCCATTTCCCCCCTCCTTTTGTATGTCAGTTGATATATCCCCGACTGTCTACCTCTGAATGCTGTCGTCCCATAGCGCCTCCGGTACGATCCGAGTGATACCGCCCGACTCATCCGCCGCGTACAGGGCCCCCAGGTCCCCCACATCCCCGCTGCTGTCGTGAGACAGGCCCCGCACCCAGCCCTCCATGCCGCTGACAGTCGCCTGGGGGAGGGTGTGACAGGGAGGGAGAGACCCACAGGGTTTCGGGGCTTATACAGGGTGCTGCATAGGGTTCGTTAGGGCCGGGGGGGTGCCCCTCAGCCCTACACATACTGCCACATCATAGGTACGGCTAGATACGACACCCATCATGACACGAGGGGTAGGTTGTTGCTTATGACGGCCATATGTGCGTGGGGGCAGCGGTTTGTCAGGACATCATAACTGGCCTGAGATGGCCGAATGATGCGATATGCCGTGCGCCACACCAAATCGCCACGTGCCTATGTGGGGCCTATGTGGGGCCTATGTGGGGCCTGGTGGTGTGGCTCGTGTCCCCTCGAGGGACCCGGGGACCTGCAGGCGGTGCGCGGGTTGCTGTGTCACTGAGACCGCTGTCACGAGACCCCTACCGGCGCTCACTCATGGAGCGAACGGAGGGGGGCCTCCCCGTTATCCCCCCCTTCCCTCCCCTCCTTGAATCTGCTCTGTGATGGCCGCCCACTTGCTGCCCCCTGGACCCCCCCTCAGACGAAGACTCCACACTGGCCATGTCGCCATGTCGTCGCATGCGGCTGGGTGCGTGCTTGCATGGCGCGCAGGTAGGTAGGTAACAGTCTCCAACACCTCCCCTCCCTTCTTCCTCTCCCTCCCTTCCCCAGCAACCACCTGCAGCTCGAACCACGGGTACACCAGCTGCCGCCGCCCCTCCTCGTGCCGCCACATCTTTATGGACCCGTCCGTGCTGCTGCTGATGATGTAGTCCCCCAGGATCACCAGGCTGGTGACGGTGCCGCTGTGGCCGTACAGCGTCTGAACACACACGGTGGGCTCCAGCATCACCTTGCCCTGGTAGTCCCAGATCTTTATGCTGGAATCCACGGACCCAGTGACAATGAGGCCGCCCTTGCCCAGGTCGCCGTCGGTGGGGCGCGGGGTGCAGATGGCGGACACAGGGCCCTTGTGGGCGCCCACGAAGCGGCTGGCGTTGCTGTTGGGGGTGGACTCGGTCATGATCCAGAAGCACACGGCCCCGTCGTCCAGGCCGTAGTACAGCCGTCGGCGGTATGGGTCGTAGTGGGTGGCGACGATGGAGGGGTCCTTGCTGCGGACGGAGGCCAGCGCGGGCTTAATGGGCTCCTTTTGGCCCGTGCTGAGGGCCGGGACACGTGAGCACCATCTGATGACAGGTTACGTTAGAAGTAGGGGAAGTGAGCGGGCGAGGGAGGGGTTAGGGAGGGCGGAGTGGAGTGGAGGGGTTAGGGAGGGCCGAGCTACCACGGGAAGCTTGGCGAACCGGAGCTTACATGCATCGTATGTCCACAGCAATTTCCGCCTCCTCATCATCGCTGTACATGATCAGCGCTTAGGTGATGATTCGCAAGGTAGGAATGTGCGTTGGTCGGGACATGTCCCGTGCTACGAGAACAATGAGTCGTTGCACAGTATGCGCAGTATGGTAGTTATTTAAACATTTATCTTATGCAGGCAGTCGAGCTAGATTCGACTTTGGGCCTGAAGAAAGAATGAAAGTGGGCATTTACAATATTGCACGAAAGACCTACTTATCTCCATCATAATTGACAAACGATAACATTTATTATAAGTAAAGGACACCGTAATCAATCCCAAACTGCATTACGAGAAGGGACATGGAAACTTGCAGCTGCACGACGTAAGAATGCATTGAGGTTTCTGGCGCTCATCTAGGTTCAACACATTCAGCATCGTAAACGTGCTGATCGGTACATGTTACGCCTCCAACGCTAGCTGATCACCCTACTGTGTTCTGAGTGTTGCAATCCGACCAGGGCTCCGGGATGGCCTCCCCGTGATGGTAACAATCTCTAAAAATGTTCTTTCCTCCTAGCCGCAATGATATTCGTGGAAAGGCCCATGGAGGGCGTGGTGGGAGGAGCAAGGTGGAGCTGACTGCCCAGGAGGAGTTGGCCAAAGCTAGGGAAGAACGTGAACGACGAAAGAGGCAAAAACTTGAACAGAAGTCAGCTGTAACTATCCAGGTTTGTGAGGAATGCTTTGTTATTCTCGTAAGGCTTGGAGCACGTTGTTCCTCGTTACCTTCCTGATGATCAAATATTAAAATGTAAAGAAGTCCTGGATTTGGACGAAGTTGTCTTCTTACTTAACACCCAACTTTGTTCCGTGCTTTGGCCCACGTAGGCCGCTTGGCGCAGTTGGTCTTCCCGCTATGCAACCAGGCGTGCGGCACGGAGTACGTGGATTGATCAGTATGGCTGCTATGGCGAGAAGCTACAGGCAGGGTAAGTCGCCCAAACCCTAGTTCGCCTAATGGGAAGCTGCCCTTGAAATCCTGACCCTTCTGCCGTTCATCGCATGCAGGGATTGTCTCAGCGTCAAATCAGGCGGGGCCCTGGCCCGCCTGCTTTTCTTCTGTAGACCGGACACGGACTTGCAGCGACTCGTCAGCGTTGCCCGGGTGGTGGCGGCTGCGGCTCCGAAATCAGGTACCGCGCCATGCGATGTGCCATCGTAGCGTGACCCATTTTGGTATCGGTGGGAGTGATTGTGGCCTAGGCCGGACGCGTTAGGCGATTGCAATCTTACCCGTCGTCCATAACTACGTCGTGTCGACCTTAAAATGCAACACTTCACTGGCCTGTCTATCGTCTGTCTCAGCTTCGCCCGTATCACACCCTTTCAAACGAATGCTGCTTATCTGCTGATATAGCCCTCCCCTTTTAACCTCACCTCCCACAACATCCATTTCGCCGTAGACGCTTTTTCAGCGTACGTGTCGTCGTACAACGTGGCCGAAACTCGTGCCTCCCTGCTGTACCAGCTGAAGTCTCTGGCGCTGTACTGCCTGGCGGCGCTGACGCAGTGCAGGTACGGAAGTTGGGGCGTTGCGGGTGGGGTGCGTGGGGGCACGCATCGATTGGGGCCCAAGGACGGATGGAGAGGGGGCCAGTGACGGAGGTGAACCTCGGAGGGTAGCGGTTGCGGCGTACTGGCGACCGTGTGGTTACGTATCCGATGTGTGTCGCATCACGCGGCAACGCAGATGACCCATCTGCGGCTGCCCCTCCTGGGGGGTGGACACATCCTCCGGGGCCCCCTGCTACTGCTGTTGATACTGCTGCTGCTGTTGACACTACTGCAAGTGGTGACACAGGAGATGTGGAGTTAAGAGCTTGATGCACCTGAGGCTGATCCGTGTTCCAGGGCCTTCCTCCTCATCTCCACCACCACCCCGCTTCCCGTGCCAGACACGAGCTGGCTCCCCTGCTGGCCGCCCCCCGCCCCGCCCACCCTCTGGACCCCTCGCTTGGGGGGGGGCCCGCGGGTGCCCTGCTGGAGTGCGTGTTACTGCTGGTGTCCCCCGACCCCTTCACCCACATACTGGGCAAGCCCCAGGCCACCAGCCTGGCCGGTGCGGTACTGAGTCACCTGGCTGTCAGCGGCATGTGCGGAAACCTCTTCCACCTGCTCACAGCGGCGTTGCTGCCACAGCCACAGCCACCATCCCCACAACAGCAGCCGCCTGCCGCATCCCAACAGCCTCACCACGACGACCATGGCCACCGCCATGGCCACCACCACAAGCACCAAAAACAGCCGCAGCAGCAACAGCCAGTCGCAGCTGCTCACGCAAAGCCCTACATCGAGGTGCTGACCACTCAGCTGACGGTGCGGCTGCTAGCGCTCAAGTCCTTCAGCCCGGGAGCTCCCGAGGACTCGCTGCACATGCTGCTGTTCGTGCCGGACCTGTGGCGGCGCTGCACCTCCCTGCAGCCCGTGTCGGCGCGCATGTGCCGGGCGGCACTCACATGGCTGGCAATGGCGGGACCGCACCGCCTGGGGAGCGCCCTGCTACCGCCCCCGCCGCCGCCGCCACACCACAGCCACCTCCGTCACCGCCATCAGAGTGGTGACAACCGCAACCGCGACCGCGGCGACAGCAGGTGCAGCTACCTGCCGGGCGGGCCTGGAGCGGCGGTGGCAGTTCTGCTAGCCAACCTGCTGGCGGTGGGACCACGAATACTGGAGCACAGCGGTGTAGGGCCAGGAGCGGGGCCGGGGGCGGGGCCCCCAGCAGCGGGACAGCGCGCCCTGGGGCTCCACGTGGCCCGGGTGCTCCACGCGGTTGTGTCGCTGCTGCCCCTGGATCCGTTCTTCCCGGAGCGGGGTGGCGGAGGGGACGACTGCGACGACGAGGTGGACGAGGCGTCGTGCGGCTCGCTGGGAGTGTCCCGGCTGGTGTTGCCGCCCGGGGCTATCTCGCAACTGCCTGAAGGCCTGTTGGAGGCGGTTCGGGGGCTCACGGGAACCGCTGGCAGGCAGATGATAAAGCAGCTGGTGGCGGTGCTGCTGCCACATGCGGGGCCCCCGCCACCACTGGCCACCAGCGCCGCCACCTACATCCTTCCCTCACTAGCATCCTCTCCCCCTCTGCCGCTGCCGCCGCTACTACAGCACCATCAGCATCATCAGCATCAGGCACAGACCAGCGGCGCCTTCGCCCACAGCAGCTCCCCGCCGGGGAGGCATGTGCACCCGCACGGGATGTCCGGGGGCTTCTCCGCCCACCTCCCAGCTCCCGCTCCGCCAGTGTCCCCATCGGCGCTGGCCCCCAGTCCAGCTGCCCTGCTAGAGGCCGCGGAGGCCGCTCACGTGCTGTGCGAGTTCCTGTGGCAGCTGGCCCAGCTGCCGGGGCAGCAGCAGCGCGTCATGATGGTGGCCAGCGTGTCGTGCGACCTGGTGGCACGAATGTGGTGGTCTTTCCTGAAACCCGCACGACAGGCAGACCTGGGGGGAATAGCCTGGATGCCACACAGCGGATGTGGTGGCGGAGGCGCAGGCGGCGGGCCCCAGGTCAATAGCCCCGGCGGTAGCACCCAGGCTATCTGTAGCGCCTCCTCCAGCTACAACTGCTCCGGAACCATGCCTATAGACATGGAGGTAGTACCCGCCGTGATGATGAGCAGCAGGATGGGGATGATACCGAGTGGTTCCGGAGCAGCCGCCGCCGCCGCCACAGGGCCTTTAGGGCGCATCAGCTCGGGTGGCGGTTCTGGAGCCGGGTTGACAGCAGCAGCAGCTGGAGGAGTGTGTGGTGGTGGCGGTGGTGGTCAGGTTGAGGCCGCGGGCTCCTATTTGACGGGGTCGCGGTCCGTCAGTGGTTACACAGCGGAGGGCGGAGGGGTGGGTTGGGGCAGCGGCTGGCGGCCCCGCCTGGCTGAGGACGTGGGGTGGCTACTGCCCCTGGCGGTTACCTGTGCGGCGTTCTCTGCCCAGATAGCCACTGCCACGGTAGAGGAGTTCTACGGGGAGCCGCAGCGACCTCTGCCGCTGCAGCAGCTGTATGACACGACGGCGCCGGATTCTGGTGGGTGCGCGTGTGGGAGGGGGGGGTCTGGGCAGCTGGTGGATTTGCTGGTCACCGAGTCCTGGGGCTGGTGGTGGGGCTGGTACATGGGTTACTCACAGCCTTCGGTTGTGCGAGTTCGTTGAGTGGGAGGTGGGGGGCTAACCTAAATGGCACCTCAGTCCGCCCAGCTGTAGCTGGTAGTGGCTGTCGGCCTGGGGGATGTGGCCAAGCACCTGGGCAGTTCCAGCTTGCGGGTACTTGCGCCCCGGGGCCCCTGGTGCGGCACCACCCCGCCGTGTGTACGCCACCACCTCCTCCAGGGGGATGTGGTGTGGACTGCACCTGTGTGCCGGAATGGCTGGTACGCACCCCCGTGGCGGCCGACCGGGGGGCCACCAGCCAACCCGGGGTTTTGTTCGCTTCCCCCGTGTCGCTTCCCCCCCCCCAACTCCCCTGGCAGCAGCTTCACTCGTTCGTGGTTCGTCTCCCCCCCCCAACTTCTCCCCTCATCAGGTCCCCGGCCCCCGGGGTACTCCTCTTGTCATCCCCCTCCCCCTACCTATCGCCCCCTCCCCCACCCTGTTCCCCAGCACACATCCCCTGTGACCCCCGTCCCCCCTCTCCCCGCCTCTCAGGCTTCCTGGCCATGTTGCGAGACGCCTTGTGGCAGGTGCTGTGGTCGGATGGGGAGATAGACCGCAGCCCAGAGGGGGAAGCACTGTATGCCGTAATGGTGCGGGCGGGCGGGCTGCTGTACGGCATCCTGTACGAACGCAACTGTCGACGGTCCTTCTGCCCCACGGAGGCCTTCCACGCCACTGCACTGGCACCTGACTGGTGGGTCCGGGGTTCGGGGTGATTGGAGTGTGTGTATGTATGTACGTGTGCCCGTCAGAACCCAGTGACTGGCGCGCTGGGCCATGTTGAGTCCGGCGATGTTGGCCCACTACTACTGCTGCTGCTGCTGCAGGGGGTGTAGCAGAAGGGGGGGGACGCCCGCGCCCGGGGACGTGCCAGTAGGTGGGGGCCCGCTGGCGCCCGTCGCCAGCTGACTGTTGACCATTGTAATCACCAGCAGGCACCAACCAGCGAACGGCTGCGGGGTAGGGGGCTGCACGCAGCGCCCTGCCGCTACCGTGAGGTGTCACTCCCGGGCTGGCCCCCTCCTGTTCCCCCCTCAGGTTCTTCACGGAGGCCAACTCCATTCGGAGTAATGCGGGGAGGGATGACGGTAGCACCCGGGTGTGGCAGGTGGGGAAGGGGGGAAGGGTGTATATTGTGTGTGTATGTATGTACGTACGTACGTATGATGATGTTGTTACAGGGTGGTATAGCTTCACCAGCGGCCCCTTTTCCCGAGGCAGTTCCCTGCTCTCCCCTGCGAGAGGGGCACCCTAATCCATTCACCCCATCCGACTTCAGAATGTATTCATTGGGTTCAGCAACTCGCCAACAGCATCCAACCAAATCTAGCGGATCAACGGCGACTCAACTTAATTCCTGGTCAGCTTGCAAGTTGATATAATCACGTCCTACATCGTCCACAAGGTGGGGGGCCACCTTCCAATTTAACACCCCTCACACACCGAAAGGTCGGCAGGCGGATTAGAACCCGGAACCTCCTGGAGCAGAAGTAAGGCCTTAACCTCTGCCAGCCACCTGCCTATAATGTATGTATGTATGTATGTAGGTAGGTAGGTAGGTATGAAGATTGGTGGGTGGTTGTATGGGTGTATGGGAGTGCAGCATGGGGAGCAGGACACGACCGCCGCCCTGCTGCCTGCTGCCCGGTGCGGTCGGGCTATAGCTGTGTGCCCCCCTCGACCCGCGGCGGCCCCTGGCCCCCCCTCACGAATACCCACCAACACCTCCCGGGCAGGGGAAGTCCCACGGGGGGTAGCCTCGTGTTGGTGTGCCGGGGTCTGCTATGTGCTGCGGCAGCGGGTGGTGATAGTAATACTGCCGCTGTCGCTGCTGCTGCTACTGCTGTTGTTGTTTGTTGTTGCGCCTCAGGTCCTCCGCCACGCGCCCTACCTTGTCCCCTTCGCGGACCGGGCCCGGCTGTTCCAACAGATGGTGGGGAAGGAGAAGGAGGTAAGGGGGTGGGGGGATAGAGGGGTGGGGGCTCGGGAGGAGAGGAGGGGAAAGGGTTGTGAGAGTTTATACGTGTGTGTATGCCGGGACAGTGGGACTTCCCACGACAGCGGTTATCTTCGCCTCCGCCTCCACCTCCACCTTCACCTGCCTCTCTTTCCTCTTTCCTCCCTCCTCGCGCGTTGCGCTGTTGCCCCGCTGCAGGAGTACAGGGCCCAGGAGGACGGCCGCATGTTCGATCTGGGTGGGCGGCTGCTGGAGGATGGCCTCAACCCGCTGGGGAACCGGTTCGTGGCCATACGCCGGGACCGGCTGCTGTTCGACGGCTTCGACAACCTGAACTCGCTGGGGGACCGACTGCGAGGGCGGGTGCGGATAGCCTACATAGACGCTCACGGAGCGCAGGAGGCGGGAGTGGTGAGGCAGAGGAGGGAGGGGAGGCGGGGGGGGCATTATATTCCGGTGCGGCGGGGGAGGGGAAGCGGGGGGTACGTGCATGTGTATTGAATGGAGTGCTTAGCAAAGGAAGCGTGTATGTACGATATACTTGCACTGTGTGTATGTATGTATGTATGTATGTATGTGTGCATGCTGCATGTCATCTGGGTCCCCTGGCCGCCCCGCTCAGGCGGGGGGTGGCTCTGCTGGGGGCCTCCCTCCAGGAGGGGGCCGCCATCGGGGGGCTCACCTGGCATTGCGACCATGTGTTGCTGCTTCACGGCACACACACACACACACACACACACACACCTTCCAGCGCACATACACACGCACACGCACGCAGGACGTATCGCGACGCAGATTTATCAAAGTGCACACAGGGCGACCGCGTAGCTGCTGTGGTGCTACTGCGCATTCCTGCACGCACCCCGCTGACATCCCTCTGCTGCTCTGGGTGGGGCCGTACATGGATGGGCGGTTGGCGGTTGGTGGCAAGCAGCAGGTCCGGGGGGGGGAGAGTGTGCTGTTCCCGGCGACACACCCCCCGGTAAACGCCTCCGCCCCCATTACCCCTGAGCTCTTACCTTTGCAGCCGCTCCTTCCAACCCTTTTTCCTCATGACCGCCCCATATATATACATACATACGCACTCCGCACCGGTCTCTATGACCAGAGTACCGTACACCTCTCCCCTACCTTACCCTACCCTACCCTACCCTACCCTGCCCTGCCCTAGCCGAAGTTGGTCACTCTGTCACTCCCCCCTCCCTCCCGCGGCCCTGTTCTTGCATGTATCATACCTCCCCGCCATCTCCCGCTGCCCCCACCCGCCGCCCTCCACCCCAATCCAGGACGGCGGGGGTCTGTTCAAGGACTTCATGGAGGAGCTCATGCGGGAGGGCCTGTCAGCAGAGTACGGCCTGTTCGCCGCCAACTCCTCCCACCAGCTCTACCCCAACCCGGCTGCCGTACGGGTGGTGGAGGACGCCCCCCGTCTGCTGGCCTTCCTGGGCAGGATGCTGGGCAAGGCCATGTACGAGAACATACTGTTGGAGCTGCCTCTGGCAGGTGAGTGACTGAGTGGTGGGGGGAGGAGGTTAGGCTGAGGCGGTGGGG